GAGTTCATTGTACTAAAGTTCAATATAGCTAAAGAACAAATCCACATTTTTAAGGAAAAACAAATCCATAAACTCTGAGCTTTCGTTCTTGGCATCAGGCTTCAAATATGTGACATGCCACAAACTGTTGAATTTGTTCACACACAATAGCTTTTCATCACTGTCAAATAGCCACCAGTTCCAGGTTTGAGTAGGAAGTTCCTCTCAATATGTAACATGCCACAAACTGTTGAATTTGTTCACACACAATAGCTTTTCATCACTGTCAAATAGCCACCAGTTCCAGGTTTGAGTAGGAAGTTACTTTTCTCCTGCCACATTGTTATCTTCTTGCAGCTATTGTTTCTTCTACTCACTTCCAGAAAGCTGGACTGAGTAAGTGTGCTTACTGCAAATATAAAAGGATTAGCTGCAGGCCACTGGTGGGCAACAGTGGATATCCTATCAAAAATGGGGTGTTGGCAGGTACCATCACCACTTTCCCATATCCAGGATCTGGTATAAATCTATCTGTACAAACCACCTTCTTGTGACCTCTCGTTTTAAAAATTAAACCTTTACCTTACCCTGTTAGTGGGCTAATGGTAGGGGGAGGGAGGCATTAGTATGAATAAATGAATAAATCAAAACAACAAAGGCAGCTAACAGAACTGAAATATAGGTAATTCTTGACTTACAACAGTTCATTTAGTGACCTTCAAAGTTACAACACTGGAAAAAATGATTTATGACCATTTTTTCACACTTATAAGAGTTGTAGCCCTCACAGCAGCCATGTGATCAAAATTCAGACACTTGGCAGTTGACTTATATTTATGATGGTTGCAGTGTCTGGGATCATGTGATCTCCTTTTGTGGCCTTCTGACAAACAAAGTCAATGGGAAACCTGGATTCACTTAACGTTTGATTAATTTAACAACTACAGTGATTCACTTAACAAATGTGGCAAGAAAAGTCATAAAATGGGGAAAACTCACTTAACAATTGGGTTTTAAGTCAAGGACTACCTGTAATCACATCTACTATTTGCCATTTGAGGTGCTAAGCCAGGATAACAGTGCATACTTGAATGTATAATAAAGATTATAGTAGAAACAGTGAGAAGTCTTGAAAAAAGCCTTTGGAACCAATCTATTTATTTTATCCTAGGGAAATTGCTTTCCATGTCCCACAGAAGGCTGCCCAGTAATGGGTCACTATGCTGATCAATCCCATGATAAACTGAAGAAAAGCAATCAAAGCTACTATCTAAACACCGGATCTAAGGAGCCCTTCACCAGTGAGTATATAAAGTATGTGTGGAATACTCATGTAACCAGTGAATCTGCAAAGAAATCTACTAATTTAGGATTGATTCAGGCTGTCAGTACAAGGGTCATGTTTCTGAAATTTAAAGCTGTATATGGAGTTTAAATGTGTAGCCAGGAAATGGAATTATCATGCATGTTCATGCTGACAAGATTGCAAGCAATTGACATGTTTTCTTACCTGGATGTCTTCAGGGAGATCTCATTTCTGTATTTGAGGTTGTAAGGAATATATGACTAAGTTCACAGCCAAACTCTTGTGACCAGTCAGAAAATTTTAACTACAGTAAATGATTAACTATCACACTGGAGAAATTACTTATCCTGTCTGGTCATATATGCAAAGATAGCATACATACTGTATATTGTAGAAGACAGATTGCCAAGATTTATCTTCCAAAAAATAATAATCTTATTAGAATTTCAAGAGTAAGCAATTAATCTTTTTATATACAGGATGAGTAAAACATGTTTAAGGAGAGTCCCAAAAGTGCTTTTTAAAAAGGCAACTTGGCTTTGTTTTTTCTTTGAAGATGTTTTGCTTCTCATCTAAGAAGCTTCTTCCATTCTGACTGAACTGAAGTCAGTCAGAAATGAAGAAGCTTCTTCGATGAGAAACAAAATGTCTTCAAAGAAAAAACATAAGTCGAGTTGCCTTTTGAAAAAGCACTTGTGGGATAAACATGACCTGGATGACTGACAATCTCCATAGACATGTTTAGGGAGAGTTTTATACACAAACACACACACACACACACACAAAGAGAGAGAGAGAGAGAGAGAGAGAGAGAGAGAGAGAGAGAGAGAGAGAGAGAGAGAGACCTAAAATAATATATTTTTTTCTGTATGAGCTTAATAGCTTGTCTATAAGAAATTCTTACATTCTTCAAAAAAAGAATGCCTCTTTGGAATGTTCTGCTTGATGTCCTTTATTGAAACCTCCTCTGAGGCCAAAATTGCATCCTTTTCAGTACTGGAGAGGACACTTCAGTATTTCCCAAGGGAGTACACATTTGAATTCAGAGGAGAAAAGTATCTAAGTTTTACAATGTTTTTATGGTGCTAAATATCTCATTTTTCTTTCAATTTTGAACAAAGGTGTGATGTTTAGGGTTTTTTAAAAAAAATAAACATATGTTTAAATACTACATATTTAAATTCTTGTTTTTATATCCCAGACCATTTTAAACTGTTAGAATTAGGGATGAGGGATGATTTTAAATTGAGTTTGTGGCTAAGATTACCATCAGTCTATCAACAGTTAAGACAAAATACTTTTAAAACTATATTCCCACTAGGATGATCTGCCAGATGGGATGTACTGATAACGGGCTTGAGAAATTTAAGCCTCGTAAATATTATTTATTTAAAATGCCTTAAGATTCTTTAAAATTATAAGCTTTTTTAAATGATCAATTTTTTCCTAGTTCTTATTTCAATTTCATTAACAAAGATGAATACCCTTGTCTAATTGTATTTCATGCCTAGCCATTTTGTATTTATTTAACTGCTGCATTCATAACACATGCATCGTATTATCTAGGTTGGCGATATAATATATCTGTCAAACTAAATGGAATGAAAAATGTGAAAGGAGAGATAAATATAGTTTTCCACAGTAAAAATGGAGATATGAAGGAATATCCAATTATGAGGTATATTTCATGCTTTGTTGTTGCAGATTTTCAGTTTTGCTAATTTTAGGAATAATTATATCACTAATTCAATTAAGAGTTTTTCATATTTATCATGTATAAAATACTTCCTTCTACACATCCTAACTCCTAATTCAAGGATAAGGTCTGTTTTATGAAATAACATATTAAAAAGGTAACAACATATATTATATATGATCTAAAAAAATATATAAAAAGGTGGGAAGTGAAGATGTTAGAAATGCTATCCTTTTTCCAAAAATAAAACAATGTAGTTTGTCAATTCTGCTTCAATACTTGATGAAATGGGATACAGATCAGCTTTCAGGGTGAAGACAATGGGAATAGAATAGTTTTCATGGTGAACTATGATGTCTTATAAGTACAAAACAAATTGTTTAAGCTATTATAGCTTTAGTAGATTATTTTATAACCTTTGTTGCTCATTGTCAGGGAATTGTGCAGCAGCTGTCCACATGAAGTCAGAGACACTGGAACAATTTTATAGCTCTATATAAATAAATATATTTTAGATTTATATTTACAGCAGACAAGATAGTCAGGAACACAGGAACATAATCACGTGAATCAAACAGCATATAGAGCACACACAGAAGAAAAAGGGGGGGGGAAATGAAACTCCCCCTTTACACCCACAGCATGGCATGGCCCATTATACTGAAATATGATTGAGATGAATTGTGAATGAGCAATATTAATATCATAGAATAATTAATTGTGAAGTGGTAAAAAACAACTGTACTGATGCTCTGTAATTTCTTCAATCCCATTTTTACAGGGGCAGCCTTAAGCAAGAACAAATCTATTCAAAGCTCACAGATGTAGAAATTAATCCAGAAAATGCTTCAAGAATTGAGTTTGTTTGGCACAAGCAATTCTTTACTTTCTTTTGGGCTCAACTAGGAGCAGAAAAAATAAATCTTACCCGTGGGCAGGATGGGCGTACGTAAGTATAGCAATTTTAACACTTAATTTTCATGATTTATATCAAGTGTCATTTGATAGTCCAGGAAGAAATCCTTTCTATCTGAGCAAGGATGGGACTTGAGCAAGGATGGATTTGAACATAGTGAAATTCACTAATTATGCTTGGAGGGAGCTATTGATCTGCTGTTCTGAAATGCTAGAGTGAATACATAAGCATGAATTACATGCCCTCTTGCCACATATGCAGTAAGACTTCTTTTTACTTTGTTTATTGTTAGTTGGTTTTGTTCAAGGTGGGTTATTGCAATTATAAAAATATTGATCAATTAATAAATAAGCAGTAAAAATTAGAAGCAAGATGTCTGAAACAATGCAAAATAAGAACAATCTCTATGTTGTAGAGATTTCCAGTTCAGAATACACTCCAATAATTTCTCCTATGTCACCTCCCAAAACATTTCTAGAGGTTTGAGTGGGGTAGAAGGCTCAGAAAGTCCAGCATGGAGGGTTCCGAGAACCAGATTTTCTTCTGATAAATTATCCTGGACCTAGACCTTCTGTCATAAGAACACCCTGAACAGTTTGTAATGTACACTCTCGTATTATAAATCTTTCTTCCTTTTGTCCGTCAAAAGTCTAAATCTTTCAACTTTGTATACAGTCAAAACATGTATTAAGGGATGGAAAAGAGAAGTTAACGAGCAAATGTAGGATTTATATAAGGATATTTTTCTTCACCTTCTTCCAGGACTTCCCTCTGTGGCCATGGAACAGTAAAATACGAAGTTCCCCAAATGCTTACACCTTGCTGAACACAAAAGGAGGCATAATCATAATTTGTAAGAGTAACAGGGACCAGCTTCTTCATGTGGCCTCTGAAAGAGCTTGATGGTTTGAAGTATGACTTATTAGAACAAATCTTCTGTCATTTTTTTTCATCTCAGCTCTGAACACAATCATCATAATTGTTTTAGGTTTGATAAAACAGTGTCAAACATTTACAGTACCAATTTCTGTCTCAAAAGAAATAAAAGTAGACAAAAAGTCTGTGTGTGTGTGTGTGTGTGTGTGTGTGTGTGTAGAGAGAGAGAAAGAGATTTGCTGGGGTGCAATCTTCTCTGTCAAAAGCAAACTATGAATAGAAAAAAATGGTGAACACTGTTTAAGGGTATGGAGCATCTTTACTTGTCAAGGTACATTTTTAAATAGGGACAATTTTAATTTAAATCTTAATTAATTATACAGCGGAAAAAAAATATTTGGTTTTTAATAGGTTTTTATGGGGGGGCGATGTTTTATGTGTTTTAATATGCTGTAAGCCGCCCTGAGTCCTATAGGGAGAAGGGCGGCATATAAATCCATGTAAATAAATAAATAAATAAATAAAATACATCTCTTTAAATTTGCTTTTTAAATTTATGCGGAAATTCCAAGACTTTATCTGCTCTGATGCGTTTATGTTTACAAGGTGTAGTGTGAACAGAGCATTTGCATCTTTCTCTTCCTTCTCAGCAGTTTTGTTTAGAAAACCATTTCTACTTCCTTGCTTGATAGGGCAAAGAATGTATTTAGATACGTTCCAAGATATTTATAAATGTTCTTCATTTTGGCAGACATAGCAAAGAGAACATTAAAGATTTCGATTCACAGCTTCTTCCACCAGTCCCCAGGCCTGTTCCCATGCTTTCTTTAAAGTCTTTCCCACAGCAGACATTCCTGATATAAAAAATTGTGAGTCTTAAAGAAGTTTGCCAACATCAGTTTCCCTTCACTAATACAAGTTGTCCTTGACTTACAATAGTTCATTTAGAGACCGTTTAAAGTTACAAAGAAAAAAATGACTTATAACATTTTTCAAACTTACGACCATTACAGCATCTCCACGGTCATGTAATCAAAATTCATATGCTTGGCAACTGAGTCATATTTATGATAATTGCAGTGTTCTGGAGTCCTGTGGTCACCTTTTGCGACCTTCTGACAAGCAAAGTAAATGGAGATGCCAAATTCACTTAACAACTGAATAGCTAATTTAACAACTGCAGTGATTCACTTAACAACTGTGACAAGATAGATCGTAAACTGGGGCAAAATTCACATAATAAATATCTCAGCAACAGAAATTTGGGGCTCAGTTTTGGTCGTAAGACGAGGACTATCTGTATTTGATTCTCTATCTTGAAAGGGCCAATTCAGTGAATCCTATAGACAGCTTTCTAAAGCCATTCTCATCTTAGTGCTTATTGTGATTTTGAAATTTTAAGATATTTTGATTTAGATGCTATGGGCCTACACCTTTTTTCTTCTTCATTTGCATCCTCAAACTAGTGAACCTACAGCTATTACAGCCTTTTGTATGGGCCTCATATTAAGCTTGATTTAGACTTCTGTGTCACTGCATGCAGGGAACGTGTGTGTCTGTCATTCGGAGACAGTTGCATAGCTGTTACAGTGGTATTTCTGTAAATGTTAACATTCTGGTTAGGTGGTGCTCAAACAACAATGTGCCTTGCCTTCCACCTACCTCCCAACAAGAAGTCAGAATAACCAATCAGCATGCAGAAAAGGGCATCTCAACACATAGTTGAGATTTGGGGGTATAATTGAGATTTGGAGGTGTTGACCCATCTGCAATCATCTACAACCTGCGCTTAAACATCAACCCCTTTGCAGCATAGGTCTGCATCAATGCCTCTGTGCAGTTGCAGACAAGTCTAAATCAAGCTTTAGAAGCTCCGAGTGGTTGATAGGAAACATAACAACATTATATGTTAAGTTAGTATCACAGTTGTTAAATGAATCTGGCTTCCCCATTGACTTTGCTCATCTGAAGGTTGCAAAAGGTGATCACGTGGTCCTCGGACACTGTAACTCCCATAAATATGAGCCAGCTGCCAAGCATCTGAATTTTGATCATGTGCCCATGGGGATGCTGGAAAAGTTGTGTGAAAAACAGTCATAAGTCACTTTTTTCAATGCCATTATAACTTTGAATGATCACTAAATGAAGGGTTGTCAGATGATGATTATCCGTAATAAGTTTTTAATTTTATTAAGTCATTCCTAGCCTGTCCCACTTAGAGAACCATTAGTAATTGAAGACTAGGATTAGATTATTCTGCCATCTCAACAGGCAAGCTTTCAATCATGGATCTTCCTTTCTGATCACAGGAGGAAATTCCATATTGTCTTATGACCTTTCCTAGCATTTTACAATGGTTTCTCTGAGCTTAACATAATAAGAATACATTTTGAAAGAATTTGGTATATAAATCAGTGGTATTCCATTATTGCAAAAGTTGCATTATTTTTGCTGATAATGATATAGGGATATTTATCCAGACAAATGACAACTAATCCAGTAATCCTGTGCATATATTGATTTCTCTCTCAAGGTGTAGAAAGAAACCTTCAGCCTTGTAAGAAGATTGGCCTTCGGGTGTCGCCTTTGTGGACTCTTTAGCAGGTCTTATCTTCTCAACAACAATGGTTTGATCCTAGAAAGAAGAAAAAGGATGGATCAGAGGGGACTGCTTTCCAATATCAAACCATTGTTGTTGAGAAGATAAGACCTGCTGAAGAGTCCACAAAAGGAACATCTGAAGGCCAATCTTCTTCCAAGGCAGAAAGTTTTCTTCTACACTTAGAGGAAGAAATCAATACATGGATTACTAAAAGGATTATGTTTTGAATCTACAAAATTCATGGCTCCCCTTCACATGTCCTCAAGCCACCTTCTACTCTTCTTTAGCCCTGCAGTTGATTAGATTAGTTCTAATCATTACCAGAGCTGATATTGCTGTCAGTTTGGTGACTGGCTAATCTTTACTTATCCTAGGTGTTTCATAATATTATGCTGGATTATGTTTAAACCTTTCTGCTATGAGGCTTTGGGGTTATTCATGGGCAAAGTTGCTTTACAATTTTAACATGTTTTGGCACTTTTTAGGCCTTGTGATCAGCCTGATATTTTAGGATGAAGGACAGATTTTAAATACTTTTGATATTCAAGGCATTCACAAGTTGGTATCTATACCAAAACTACATAAAAAATAGGTGTGTATCATACACATTGTGTCATTGTGGAGAACAAAAGTAGTATAGGATTATTTCAAAATCTATATGAATTACAACAGTCCTGAAATTCCAGACAGCTCATGCTCCTATCCTTGCTTATTAATGTAACTCATAAGGATTCATGTCAGTGTTTCTCAGGGCAGAACGACACATTCTGCTTGGCCCATCATCAGTGTGGGCCACTCACATAAACAGGAAGAGATGATGTCATCCACCCTAAATGTCCTGAACACAAATGAGGAACAAACATGGGGATAGTAGGATAGTAGGCAGTATGTAAAGAGCCTTTGGTTACCTAGCTCTCATCATTTGCCTTATGGTTAAAGGACTCCTAAGGTTCAAAGCGACAATAAGTGTCCAGCACTGTTTCACAACAAACATCTAGACCAGAGGTGTCCAATCTACAGGCCACATGTGGTTCTGGAGAGCTAGAATGCAGCCCCACAAGATTATCAAAAATATTTAAAAATAAAAGAAGTTTGTTATTTATATACACATTAACTATATTATATATTTTATATGCAGCCCAGGACAATTCCTCTTCACTCAATGTGTGCCAGGGAAGCCAAAAAGTTGGACAACCATGATCTAGTCTCAAAATATTTTGAATATATAAAATGGTAATAATTTCAGATCCTACAAAACTCAAACTTGCCCAGCATTTTCAAATTCTATTCGTGCTCATTGCACTGCAACAGTTATGCATTCAATTACTTCAGCTATCTAAATGGCCTGTGGTATGATTTTTAAAGAAAAATGTGCCACTTTATTTTGTTTTAAATTTTACCTATAACAGCCAAGTATTTGAAAATATGCATAGTTTTCCAAGGACAGATTGGATAAAGCTCACATGAACAGAGGAGGTGATAAGATTTTTTTAAAACTATATAATATATGAAATACTCTCATTTTGGGGATATTGCTATAAGAGGAAACAGCTTCTTGA